GATGTGATTATTTAGACAAAAGCATTGACATAACCTTGCTAACAATGAAGCCAATTGTTTAGTAAAGATAGCAATAAATGACTCACCTTTTTTTGGCCTTTCTAAAACAAAATTGCTTTGTACACAGACTTAGCATAAGCAGGAATAATGTGGACAAACGGAAAATGGACAAGAAAGCTCATATGGTGCAGAGGGTTTTGACAATAACCTATTTATTTCAGGCAGGACTTCAGAGTGTCACTGGATAAAGAAAATTTGAAAGTATTTGTTCAACATTTTGGTATACAAATGTAGAAACTGTATTTGAATATCCTAAAATCTTTTGACAAGATAGCAGCAGTAAAAATAAACAGCTGTAAAAATAAACAGCCTAATGTTCCAACCCTGACTATAGCTCTTACTGTTGTGATTACTAAACAGTGACTGACAAGTTTTTAGGACTTGTCCCTTGCTATTCATTGATTATTCCTCAACTACAGGACAAAAGCCTTCACTGGATACCTTAATCCACACAGACACATGCCTAGCTCTCAACAGATTTTGCTCACCACAAAGATCGAGCAAAAGGTCAAAAACACAGACTAATTCCAGCCAAAGCTTTTACTCCGCAACCTGAGACCCAACCCTGCTCCAGGCCAATCCCCTGAAACATTCCTATGGACTTCAGTCGTGTCTGGAGAAGTCCACAACTTCTCAGACTTGACTCTGGTTCAGTTTTGTCTCCAAGTATCATTACAGCATGGTGTAGACTGCATATATAAACGTATGCACCTCCTGACTATTACTTCTTCCTTCTTTGTTGTTTGGGGGTTTTTTTTGCCTAAAGCAGAGGAGTCTCTTCCCCTCTTTCCTGACTTGAAAGCAAAACATTTCACAGAAATCTTCATCAAATAGCAAAACCTCTGGCACACAAATAAATAACTCCATCAGCATTTCCATCTCTAAAAATGCTGAAATAAAAAAAGGAAACAGAAGTGATATGTGAAGTTCACCTTTAGCCTGATTTATCCCAAAATTGAATAACTACACATCCTGGCAAAACAATTTCTAGGATCACCAGTCACAAGGGACAGGACACAAACTTCACCTCTGATGAGGTTTACTATCCCAGTAGAAAATGAAATAAGACACTCTTCCCCAAATCACAAGCAAGAATTTGAAAGAAGAGCAGTATTTCAGGAGCATTAGTAAATCCACAAATTGAGAAACAGAGAAAGATAGTTTGAAGAAGATAATTTGCCATGTTCAGACATGTTTTTTTAAACCTTCCATGTGACTTTTTCTTGAGCAGGCAGTTTTACTCCTACACTGTCATAAACAGCATTTTACTCTCTTTGAAAAATTACATGGTTCACACTAGTACTTGATTTGAGCACACATTTTTACTTTCTCTGCTCCTCTCTGCTGTGGCATTTTTTTTCTCTATTTTTGTCCATTGTGATTGGGAAGGTGAAGGTGCCTTGCCCTATATGTGCACAAAGACCACCACTACAGGAGTTCAGATTCCAGGAACATCTCAAGATCTTTCTGCACTAAAGGTGGTATCATCACCACCACCCTTCTAGTCTAGATCTAACCCAACTGTTTTTGTATTTTGAGTTTTCAATGTCACCTTACAGAAAATGAATAGCATACACTTGTATATGAAAGAAAAGAAACTTCACCTACTCACCTAGACAGCAATAGTTTACCCTGAAGTTTCAAATCAGCAGCACAGTCATCAGACTGACAGTTCCTCTCAAAAACAGTCTGAAAAAAAAAAGGGAAAAGAACTGTTAAAGCATGAAAAGAGTAAGATCAAAATTCAAAGAAGGAATATACTTGGATGAAATAAAAAAATAACCAGCAAAATTTGTGATACAGGAATATATGGTGTGAGTATTGAGAATATTCAAGGTGAGGCAAATCTTATCTTTATCAGAACTGGCTTTATTCTCTTCTAACTGAACAAGAAATGTCACCAAAACCAGACTCTCTCAAAGGTTTTCCTCAATCCATTCTCACTTCTCATCTGACAAGAATTACTGCTCGTAGAGTATTTCTGGCATTCTTATTTCTCTTCCCAAGGTATGTGCACAAAAATGAAACAGAAAATAAAGTATTTATGAAACTATTTTCAGTACTAAGAATTGCAAGTAAGGAAATCATGCAGCAAACATTTTCACTAGATTTTATGTATGGTAGGAAACATTTCTGCCACCCTGCAAACAACAGAAAATTACAAAGACTCTTATGTATCAGTGATACCCTCAAATAATGGAACCATTGTTTATCTTGTGAACTCTGGTAAAGACTACCACATAGGAAATTTAACAGATTGATAAAGATAGGAGCTATGAAGGGACAACATATGAGCATGCTAGTTAAGCAGCAAAAAGCAGGGGAATAAGTGAGAAGTTAATGAATCTATGCAAAACTCTGCAATAGTTTGCCATGGCTAAACAAGGCAGCCACCAGTGAGTGAAAGAGAGAACAGGAACACTCCTGGCATTGAAGAAAGCCAGATGCTGTCAAGATCATGGTTACTCTCCCCTGCTGTTTAGATCAGAGACCAATACCTTTCTATACTTAAAGCTAGATGTTTCAGGCTGGAGGACTCATTCTTTCAGACTTGTAATGCTCTGAGCTTACCAAATGCTCAAAGGACAAATACCCTGAATTAATGTTGCCAACACTGTTCAACTAGGAAATGCTGATCTCTTCCTTTAATATGAGTGTTTCTTTCTACAGGCGTGGCTTCATGACTTTTGTTACCAAAGTAAATATATTTCCATCATAAATGCAAAGACAGAGCAAATCTGTGTATGACACACACAATGGTCAGACAGGCTTGCAGAGACTGAGGAGACTGGGAAAAGACTTGAATCTTAAGCCCAGAGGGCATAGAGACTTCTAGCCCTTTGCTTGTCGGAAACATTCTTGGCTAACAAAGCAGCTTGCTCTCCTTTTTCTGTGTTGTCAGAGCTCTCCAAACAGGAGTGGACCTTTATGAAGTTAATTGGTATTGGACTAGCAGATATCAGACTACGCTGTAGGTTGTACTGAGTTCCAAAAGAGGAAAGATGGAAGTTGGCTAGTTCAGGCTATTTACTTTGCCCTTTCACCTTCCTTTCCCATCTTTTGCTTTCTCAGAATGTCAGACATGAAATTTGCTGAGGATTTAAACACAAGGACTGAACTTACCCTTCACCTTTAACACAGGCTACCACAACCAAAGGACAAGAATAGCCCTGAGACGGGAATTGGCACCAGGCATCCCTCTCTAAACATGGCCCATTTCAGAGGCATAGTTTCAAAAGTCCTCAGAATTAATTCTTAGCCACCATAGTAGTTATACATAACAAAGACTGCTTGACCTTCAGAGGGGAAAGAATAATAAACTGTAAAAAAATTCTTGCCTGACAGTTTCCTTGTTTGCACTGCAGAAATCTTGGCAAACTTAACACAGCAATCAAAGAAATGATCTGCACATTTCCAAGTGTAAAGTACTGTAACTACATTTAAGTAATTATCTAATAATCCTGGAATCTTGTTACTACATCTATCACTACAGTTCTTTAGAAAGTATGAACAAATACTTCATTTACTAAGATCACTGAGCCTGTATCTATTCCAGCATATCATGCACTAGACAGCAAATTACTTTGAAATATGTTGGGAGTATTTAATTATGTCATAGAAATCCAAGTTCCTACACAGCACTGGGTTGGGAGAAAGAAATAAGGATGACAAGTCCCCAGATCTGTAGCTGTGTAGGAGTGAACTGTTTGCTTCTGAGGAGGATCTTGAACCTGTTCAGGTTTGGGGATAGCTTTCTCACCCCAAAACAGTTGAATAGACTGGATTTCCAGTCCAACAGGCTGCTAAGACCCACAGATGCAGGCATAACTGATTCAGCATCCCACTTCCATTGCAGCCTAATGACATCCATGTATTATTTTATTATTTTCTTCTACTTCCCTGGTTTGCCAGGACTCTACTTCACCTCCTCTTCTTGTGCGTCTTTTTGGAGTCTCAATCCTCTAGCGTGTCATACTCTATTTCCTCCATTTTCTTGTCTGCTAACTTGAGCCTCCCCTTCCCTAACCTTTTTCTGCTTCTGCCTTTTGAGTTGACTGACTCCTTCCTGTTTAAATTCCTCCTAAAAAAATAAGGAGCAAACACACTTTAAGACATCATTACATTTGTGAACACTGCTTATATATTCTGTTACTGTGCCCTTACTTGGTCTACTGGGGCTGCAATTTCTTTGGATCAGAAACTCTCCCTAAGTCAACAATGTATGTTGCTAGAGTCCACTCCTGGGATGTGGACAGACCCTACTACAGTATCATCAGAAATTTTAACTCTAAGCAATCTTTAAAGTGGTTGCAGCTTTACAGTATCAGTTTTAAGGATCTATAGAGCTTTTTTAATATTCTGCATAAATATTCCCCTTCTGCATAGAATCCAGCAGCTATGGGGAGTTGTTCCAGTGCAGTTCCCACCAGGTCACCAGACTTCCTTGACAAACATGATTTTCTCAAATTCTGCATGGCAGTTTTTCTGAGTAAAAAAGATGATGCTTCTTAGGAGGCCAACGAATCCGACAGATATGTCCCTGAGAAGTTAGCAAATATGGATGTGCCCATGTTCTCCAGAGGGTAAGTCAAAATGCATACATTAAGGCACACTCATTATGAATGGTGAAGACACACACCTGTACACAATCAAATGTACAGTAAGGACAGATCAAGAGATAGCTGATCAGGAAGGGAATATATCTACATAGGCAGTCAGAGAGCCTCAGAGCAAGTACTTTTGTGTCCATTATACCTCTTGAAGAGAATTAAATTCCACATTTTGTGCTAAAAGCTAAGGGTAAATGTAGGAGGAAGTAGAAGGGGTATGAATCTCTAGTTCCTGCATGCTAAATCCTTCTAAGCACAAAGCTGCTGATAGTGGATCGCTATTGAAGGCTGCTAGGAGGTAAAACAAGCAAGAAGGAGCCTGACTTCAAGTTCATGATCAGAGCTCTGTATTCAGAGGAAAGTGATCTGGGATTTCAAACCTTGCTAAACTGCTTCACTTTCTTGCTATGGCTACCTAAAATTAAACACATCTATGTTTCTGGGAGCAACGAAGAGAACAGGAAACATAGAAAATAAAAACCCCACTGTGTTTATGCCACTCCTCCCCTCAGAAAATACTGGAAATCGTCCAATAAACTAAGGGGAAAAAATGCATTTCAAGACATTCAATCTCCCAAAATTCAGGGAAATTCAGGGAAGTACATGGAAATTTGAGGTTGTAGCCAAAATGTACAACCAAGACTTTGAGAGGTTGCCAGCACTATTCCCGTAAGAGTTCTGCCCATCCTTTCACTGAAAGGGAAAGTGACAGCTGAAGGTCAATGCTTGAAGAAAAGGGGGAGAGATACAATTCTCAAAAGAACCACTGAAAACCTGTCATTTTATGGATTGGATAGGGAACAGTGATCCACTCTAGATCATGCCTTTATCTACTTCCTCACATATCAGTCTACAAAAGTGGCAGACTTGGCCTTTGGTAACTGAGGATCCATTCCTTTAATTTCATAAACTGTGCCATGGACTTCAGCAAGAAAAGGGGGAGAGATACAATTCTCAAAAGAACCACTGAAAACCTGTCATTTTATGGATTGGATAGGGAACAGTGATCCACTCTAGATCATGCCTTTATCTACTTCCTCACATATCAGTCTACAAAAGTGGCAGACTTGGCCTTTGGTAACTGAGGATCCATTCCTTTAATTTCATAAACTGTGCCATGGACTTCAGCTCAGCAATTAAGAATACAGTATTTCCACCTCTACACAGACATCCTGTAAACTGCCACCAAACCCTACAGCATGTGCAGAGATTACTTAGCAATTAGATCATGCAATTTGATAATGGGGCTTGTTATCCTAGTAATTCTTGACTTTTTAGATCTTGATGCTATATGGTTAAAGCATGTTCTCTGGTGGAGTCTCTTTGTCCTTATTTAGAGATCAGGATATATGATCCAATTTTCAAAAGTGCTGAGCTGTAAGCTAACTACCTTTTCTAGAAAGTATTTTCTGGTTATAGCTTTGCAAATCAATCACTCAGACATTAATGTGGCTAAAAATAGATACAGGAGCCTGACCTTCATTTATTTTGTTTTTAAACTTTCACGTTGTCTGCAAAATAAAACTATTACCTATATGTCTATTGGCCACAGAAAAAGAAATATATACTGATTCCTCCAAGGCATCCTATGCTTCACTATGCTACTCATGGAAATAGTCCATCCATATATCCTACTGCACCAAGCACAAAATGACCAATTTAAATTCCCACTAGAAAGGCAATTAATATTCTGAAAAAGTTTGCAGGATTTCATCAGATGTGCTGCCTAAAATGAGAATGCATGATTTCCACAATACCCCTCACTGAGTGGCACACTGAACACATGAATACCAGGGGAATGATAAGCGTTCAGTAGAATCCTACTATGAAAACAAAGGGCTGTGCCAGTACTGCACGATGAAGGGGACAAAGATTAGCTAACAAGCTCCCTCAGCTCCACATAGACGTCATTAGTGCGCTAAGTTTGAAAGGGAAAAGGAATAAAATGAGGCTCACTAGGGATGAGCCTAGGGGTGGTATGCCAGTGTTGGGGGGGTGAAATCAATAGCCCTGCTGAAGTGTATCTACACCAATGCAAGAAGTATGGGTAACAAATGGGAGGAGCTGGAGGCCACTGTG